TAGGTTGATTAATTTCCCGTCTCACAGATTACGACAATGTTTTGTTGCCTGCAGGGTCGCCCCCTCAACGAGAAGGAGAAGCAGAGAGGAGACGAGAACAACCTGGTCTTCCCAGGAGAGGGACAAGCATGGGTGAGTCCGCCCCCTCTTCATTTTTCTTACGCCTTCATCCTCTTGTTTTTTTTCCCTTTTTTACTCGTTAATCTTGCTCCTTGATCCTACTTGTGCTTTGATCCACCTTGCTGCTCCTTGATCCTCCACCTTTGGCTGCTCCTTAAATCCTCCACCTTGCTGCTCCTTGATCCTCCACCTTGCTGCTCCTTGATCCTCCACCTTGCTGCTCCTTAAATCCTCCACCTTGCGCTCCTTGATCCTCCCCTTGCTGCTCCTTGATCCTCCACCTTGCTGCTCCTTGATCCTCCACCTTGCTGCTCCTTGATCCTCCACCTTGCTGCTCCTTGATCCTCCACCTTGCTGCTCCTTGATCCTCCACCTTGCTGCTCCTTGATCCTCCACCTTGCTGCTCCTTGATCCTCCACCTTGCTGCTCCTTGGTCCTCCACCTTGCTGCTCCTTGATCCTCCACCTTGCTGCTCCTTGATCCTCCACCTTGCTGCTCCTTGCTTTCTCTAGTGGCTGTCTCTGCCACTAATAAAACCTCTTCCACAAGCTAGAAAATCGATCAGTGGGAAGACCAAGATACAAGTTGAACAAGCTTTCACTAACCCAGCTCTTCGCTCTATGTAGAACTTTATCAAGCTATGCGGAGATTTTAGCTAACACGCACTGCAAAACTAGGTGGAGTATGTTCGTTTACAGTAGCCTCTGTGTGAGAGTATGAAGCTCCAGAGTGTAACGTTACTTTGCAACTTGTCGTTTTGTTCGTGACGTAAGCAAGTGTCAACAGTGATACTGATGATGCAATCTGTTTCATCTTAATGGTATACAGTACCGACAAGTTGATGAGTAAGACGCATATGCAACAGTTATGTATCTTTGTCAGTGGCGGATCTACATTTTTGGGGTCCTGAAGTTTGAACTGTTATGGGGCCCCCTTCGCAACCAGCAACGAGGTCTGAGTAACCACTGTGTCGACTAAAGTCGCTTCTGGGGTCCCTCCGGGATTAGGGGCCCTAAAACTTAAGCTTCATTAGTTACATAGTGGATCCGTCCCTGATCTTAGTCGTGGGAACATTTCGTGTGCCCAACTTCTTCAGCCGAATGCAGAGTTTATTTAAATGCTGGAGCTATCATACGTAATGGAGAGGTAAATATGGCGTGACCAGCCCCTCTCAACTTAAAGAAAAATTAATTTTGTGGTGGTCAGTCCCTCAGAATGTCGGACCTTAAAGTAAACAGTTCGTTATCTAATGTGCTTATGTACGTCAATTTCGGAACGATCTGAGGAACCTACACAATTAGGATTTTAGTTATTTTAGGTAAGCTTTATTTAGTTATACTAATTCACGTCTGGCTGCTCTCTAATAAGCAAATTTCACGAACAGGATTTTAAGGAAACTGGATGACAGGAAAACTTAATAAGAGTTGCTTAATGAGAACAAAAGCTAGCCGTGTTTCCCTTGTTATATTCTGTCTCCCCAGGATGGGTCACATAGTGTTGAAATCTGTCAGCCTGCGCTGGGAGAAACATCAGTAGTGTAATCCTGAGCTGGGAGGAACTTCAGTAGTGTAATCCTGAGCTGGGAGACTTCAGTAGTATCAGTCTGAGCTGGGAGACTTCAGTAGAGCAAGTATTTACCTTTGTATCAAACGTTCATCAGGTACGGCAGCTTCAAGGTTTCCTTCCAGCAGAGCTGTGGGTGTGACCTCTGGCAACGGTGCAGGATACTGCAGTTATTTAATTGGTTGTAAGATCTATTTAGATCAACACTGTAATGTCCCTCTGACACGTGTATGCTAACCTCTCTGCAATAGTGTTGCGATGTTGGAGCAGTTACCTTTTAGTGTGCGCTATTTCTTGCGATGTCGTTGTTAACGAAATCGTGTGTAGAATTGTCATTAAGTCCTGGGATGATTGTATTTTGACAGTTACTGAATTATTCTTCTCCCCACTGGTGACAACTGAAGTAGTGTTAATCAAGGTATTAATCAATTTGTCATGCTGTATGCTGACGTAATGTTACTGTGTTTATTAACTTGTTCAGGCTCTATCTTTGTCTCGTGTTGACAACATGCTGGGTGAAATGACACACGTACAACTAATGCGACATTTTATTGTGGCAACGTTTCGCTCTCCAGGAGCTTCATCCATCTGAGGCTCTTAAGTGTTGCTCCTTCATGGAGGGAGTGATTTGATGCTGGCGAAGGGCTCTTCATCCAAGGAATTAAAGGGATTCTTCCCTTTGATCAAGACACTTTATGATTGTTCCAGGACTCTTGGTCTGGACCCGTTATCCTGAACTGTCATGGAAGGTATTGACCTGAAGAAGGAAACACTTTTGCCATCACTCCTTCCTTGGTTGCTTTTTCTGAACTACAAGAACATAAAACATTGCAGGCTGTTGGTACAAGCCATGTACAAGAACATGATGATTGCCGGCTCTTGGCACACTGGTGGTATTCTTTTACTTACGGAATAGTGGGGTTAATAATGTTTGTTCAGAGGAAGGGGAAGGTCGCTCCAATTGTATATATATAAAAAATCATTAACATAAAGGTCCCTTCCTTGAAAGGTGAGTTGAGGTTCTGTTGCGAGGGTGAGTTGAGGTTCTGTTGCGAGGGTGAGTTGAGGGTTTTTGGGGGGGTGGTTAGGTTTTGTTGGGAGGGTGAGTTGAGGTTCTGTTGGGAGGGTGAGTTGAGGTTCTGTTGGGAGGGTGAGTTGAGGTTCTGTTGGGAGGGTGAGTTGAGGTTCTGTTGGGAGGGTGAGTTGAGGTTCTGTTGGAGGGAGGAGTGAGTTCTGGAGGGTGAGTTGAGGTTCTGTTGGGAGGGTGAGTTGAGGTTCTGTTGGGAGGGTGAGTTGAGGTTCTGTTGGGAGGGTGAGTTGAGGTTTTGTTGGGAGGGTGAGTTGAGGTTCTGTTGGGAGGGTGAGTTGAGGTTCTGTTGGGAGGGTGAGTTGAGGTTCTGTTGGGAGGGTGAGTTGAGGTTCTGTTGGGAGGGTGAGTTGAGGTTTGTTGGGAGGGTGAGTTGAGGTTCTGTTGGGAGGGTGAGTTGAGGTTCTGTTGGGAGGGTGATTGAGGTTTGTTGGGAGGGGGAGTTGAGGTTTTTGTTGGGGGGTGAGTTGAGGTTCTGTTGGGAGGGTGAGTTTAGGTTCTGTTGGGAGGTGAGTTGAGGTTCTGTTGGGAGGGTGAGTTGAGGTTTTGTTGGGAGGGTGAGTTGAGGTTCTGTTGGAGGGTGAGGGTTTAGGTTCTGTTGGGAGGGTGAGTTGAGGTTCTGTTGGGAGGGTGAGTTGAGGTTCTGTGGGAGGTGAGTTGGGTCGTTGGAGGGTGAGTTGAGGTTCTGTTGGAGGGGTTGAGGTTGGAGGGTGAGTTGAGGTTCGTTGGGAGGGTGAGTTGAGGTTCTGTGGGAGGGTGAGTTTTAGGTTCTGTTGGGAGGGTGAGTTGAGGTTCTGTTGGGAGGGTGAGTTGAGGTGGTTGGGAGGGTGAGTTGAGGTTCGGTTGGGAGGGTGAGTTGAGGTTCGGTTGGGAGGGGTGAGTTGAGGTTCGGTTGGGGGGTGAGTTGAGGTTCGTTTGGGAGGGTGAGTTGAGGTTCGGTTGGGGGGGTGAGTTGAGGTTCGGTTGGGAGGGTGAGTTGAGGTCTGTTGGGAGGGTGAGTTGAGGTTCGTTGGGGGGGGGAGTTGAGGTTCTGTGGGAGGGTGAGTTGAGGTTCTGTTGGGAGGGTGAGTTGAGGTTTTTGTTGGGAGGGTGAGTTGAGGTTCTGTTGGGGGGGTGGAGTTGAGGTTCGTTGGGAGGGTGAGTTGAGGTTCGGTTTGGGAGGGTGGATTGAGGTTCGGTTGGGAGTGAGTTGAGGTTCGGTTGGGAGGGTGAGTTGAGGTTCGGTTGGGAGGGTGAGTTGAGGTTCTGTTGCGAGGGCGAGTTGAGGTTCTGTTGCGAGGGGAGTTGAGGTTCTGTTTGCGAGGCGGATGAGGGTTACTAGTTGTTTGCGAGGGCGAGTTGATGTTCTGTTGTTTGGAGGGCGATTTGATGTTTGTTGTTGCGAGGGCGAGTTGAGTTCGTGTTTGCGAGGCGAGTGATGTGTTGTTTGCGAGGCGAGTTGATGTTCTGTTTTTTGCGAGGCGAAATTGAGGTTCTGTTTTTGCGAGGGCGAGTTGAGGTTCTGTGTTTGCGGGCGGTTGAGGTTGTTGTTTGCGAGGGCGAGTTGAGGTTCTGTTGTTTGCGAGGGCGAGTTGATGTTCTGTTGTTTGCGAGGGCGAGTTGATGTTCTGTTGTTTGCGAGGGCGAGTTGAGGTTCTGTTGTTTGCGAGGGCGAGTTGAGGTTCTGTTTTTTTGCGAGGGCGAGTTGAGGTTCTGTTGTTTTGCGAGGGCGAGTTGAGTTGTGTTTGCGAGGGCGTTTTAGTTCGTTGTTTGCGAGGGCGAGTTGAGGTTCTGTTTTTTTTGCGAGGGCGAGTTGAGGTTCTGTTGTTTTTCGAGGGCGAGTTGAGGTTCTGTTGTTTGCGAGGGCGAGTTGAGGTTCTGTTGTTTGCGAGGCGAGTTGAGGTTCTGTTTGTTTGCGAGGGCGAGTTGAGGTTCTGTTGTTTGCGAGGGGCGGTTGAGTTCGTTGTTGCGGGGCGAGTTGAGGTTTTTGTTGTTTGCGAGGGCGAGTTGAGGTTCTGTTGTTTGCGAGGGCGAGTTGAGGTTCTGTTTGTTTGCGAGGGCGAGTTGAGGTTCTGTTGTTTGCGAGGGCGAGTTATGAGTTCTGTTGTTTGCGAGGGCGAGTTGAGGTTCTGTTGTTTTTCGAGGGCGAGTTGAGGTTCTGTTGTTTGCGAGGGCGAGTTGAGGTTCTGTTGTTTGCGAGGGCGAGTTGAGGTTCTTTTGTTTGCGAGGGCGAGTTGAGGTTCTGTTGTTTGGAGGGCGAGTTGAGGTTCTGTTGTTTGCGAGGCGAGTTGAGGTTCTGTTGTTTGCGAGGGCGAGTTGAGGTCTGTTGTTTGGCGAGGGCGAGTTGAGGTTCTGTTGTTTGCGAGGGCGAGTTGAGGTTCTG